ACTGCAGATGTGAAGGTGGTTTCCTTAAAAGGCCTTTCAATCTATGGTTGAGATTTAATCTCTAGAATGTCTTTGTTCCTGTATTTAAAGTTGCTTATTGGAGTTTTGCTCATGTCTTGTTAAACATTGTGTCAGGTATGGGAGATTGTATATTCAAAGGATGGATCAGTCAAGGAGGTCACAAAGGTCATGCAGCTCAAAGGACACAAGGCATGTGATTTCACTAGTGCAGTTCTAATGCCTGCTTGTTGCTTTCTTTTATTTCTTTTTCCACTTCTCTCATTCTGCCCTCAGTTCATACATGTTCTTGTTTTCCAGTTATGACTTATTATCACATGTTCCTATCCATATTAGAGGTTTTCCAAAATATCTATGGCTAGGCAGCAAAGCCATGATGGGTTTTACTTGCATGCTGTTAATGGAACATATGAGTAATTTCCTGCTCCTCTTTTAATGATCTTTTTCCAGAAAACAGATAAAATGATTTTTAGTTCTTTGACTTTTATTGACTTGTAGATCTTTTGCTATATGTTTCTCTTTCAATGAGTTTATTTTATTAATAACTTATTGGCATAAAATGTTTTTTTTTTTTTTCATCAGCTATTGGCATAAAATGTTGCAATTTGCTTCTTAAGTCTCATTTCCTCTTTTCCCTTTTTCTTAAATATACAGAGTGCAGTAACTTGGTTATGCTTCTCTTTGAATTCTGAGCAAATCATTACAGCATCCAAGGATGGTTCAATAAGAATTTGGAACATCAATGGTTTGTGTTCTTATATTTTGACATATTTTTTTCTATCCTTTTGGCCCCTTCATTTTGTCTGTTAGATCAAAATTTGCTAATCGTGACAAATACACTTTAAATTCAAGATATTTTTCACACATAGACATTCTAACACATGTTCTTGCACATGCACACAAGCAAGTGCAATTGCAAGGGCACATATCAATAAGTTATTGATATGAATGTCTCTTTACAGACATAATTTTTAGTATACTTCTGCTCAGTTCAGCAGAAACCACCTCTTTTCAGTTGAATAACTATTCTGCTTCTATCTTTTGCATTTGACCTTGCTCCCTTTCTTTACACATACACCTGGACCACCTGCATTCTGAATACATTAGTTGAAAAAAGGAAAACAAGAGTGAAATGATAGGGAAGCATGGAACTGCAGTATGAACAGGTTACCTGCATAAATCTGAGAGATGATATTTTTATTGAAGATTTCCTAGATGGTGCTTAGTGCTGGCATATCAATCATGCATGCAGGTTCTTTGTAGGCAAGATTTTATAATTTCAATGAAACTGTTAAGCTATGAAATCTTCTCTTTATTTCTTGTGTCAGTCTTATTACTTCTCTTCTGACACAATATGAATTTTTTTGTTGAAGTTCGATATCATCTTGATGAGGATCCGAAAACTGTGAAGGTGTTCCCAATACCACTTCATGAGTCAAGTGGTAGTACTTTGCATTATGATCAACTTGCTTTATCCCCCGATGGAAAGATACTGGCAACAACCTATGGTTCAACATTGCAGTGGCTATGCATTGAAACTGGGAAGGTTCTGGATACAGCCGAAAAGGCCCATGATGGTAACAAGCAGTGAACTTCTCTCTTTTCTATTATTCTGCCCATATTCAAACTATATTCTACCATGTCTAAAGTTGAAAATGGATGTATCCTTGAGTATTGGGAAAGTTTTTGAATGAGCATATTTTAAGATGAGTAACTATACTCTGTTCAAAATAAAATAAAATAAAAACTATTCTCTGTTATTAATTGACTCCTTGCATTGAATATTTGTTAAGATGATTATTGTTTTCTGAAAAGCTTTTTGTCTGACCAATTTTGATAATAACTTTGATGCTTTTGTTTCACTGTTGTAATTTTGGATGTCAAAGTGGTGCTTGAAAAGTTTTGTTGTCCATCGAGGAGAAAAACAATGTTTTCAGATATTATAGGACAATAAATGATAGCTTTGTCAATCTTGTATTTATCACATTTTCATCCTCAATCTTGTATTTATCACATTTTCATCCTCCAGGTGATATCACATCCATCGCATGGGCACCTAAGGCTATACCAACAGGTAAAATTAGTGTGTATTTGTCAAGACCTCTTGCTTATATTTCTTCTAAACTTTATAACATTATCAAGTTTTATTTGTTGTAGGGAATGAACAAGCGGTGGTTCTAGCCACTGCTGGTGTTGACAAGAAAGTGAAGTTATGGGCAGCTCCATCAGTGAATTCTTCATAAATTGCCTTCAATCAAGAGTCAAGTGGATATAGCATATGGCCAAAAGAAAAGATTCAGTGGATAGAAAGGAAACTGTGTTACTATCACGGCGAGGTATTACTTGAATTGAGAAGAGAAATTTCATACGAATTTCGACGCTTTGACTCAGTAAATTTTGGTTCATAAATATCTATACTTTTTTTAGCGGTGCTATAGAGATAATTTTTTTATATTATTTTTCAATACAATTTTTACATATCATTAAATGAGCGGATGTATTTAATATCACGGATTCCATATGAATTAAAAGAATCAATTATTTAAAGGCCAAAGCCCCTATTTGTACAATCCATTTATTTTTTTTCCGCGGTCAACAACTTCCAGAATTTTTCCTCTATTTACACCCTCTACTTTTCAAAACCCGTGAAAAACCCAATATTTTAACGGGCAGTCACGGTCCCTTTAATAACCGTTAAAAATTGTAATACGTGACCTCAAACAGTAACATAATTCAATGTGGACTTTTTTTTTTTGATGATATGGCATAATAAAATCATAATTAATTTTAATTTTTTCATTTTCTTCTTTCCCGCATCATCTTTACCATCTTCCTCTTCATCTTCTTGGGTTCCTCATGGAACCAGGTACCCAGAACTTTTTTTTATAATGTGTTATAATTAAATCATCATTAATTTTAATTTCTTCATTTTCTTCTTTCCCGGCATCATCTTCACCATCCTTATCCTCAAACAGGTACCCAGAACTTTTTTTTTATAATGTGTTATAATTAAATCATCATTAATTTTAATTTCTTCATTTTCTTCTTTCCCGGCATCATCTTCACCATCCTCATCCTCATCCTCATCCTCATCCCCACCATCCTCATCCTCATCCCCTAGGCTCCTCGCAAAACCTAGGTTCTGAGTTCTTCGTAGAACCTAATTTCACATGAATGCAAGCTAAGATTTTCATCCACACAATTATAAATAAATGAATACTGCACAAAAACATGATAAACATCTTTTACTCCTTTCCCACAAAAAATGAAAATTGGCAACCTATTCAGAAACAATCTCCCAGCAAAAAAACTCACTTTTTCAACAAAAAAAAAATATTCCAAATTATTTTGCATAAAATCGAAAGTTAAGATAAATACATTTAAAATAAAAAAAATAAAAAAAAGGAGGTTGGAACTGGGTTCCCGCGTAGGAACGTTAGTGATGTTAAAATATATAATAATTTTTATAATTTTTAATATAAATTAGGTTATATCCCCGATTCAGTCCCTCAACTTTCATTTTTGGACTAAAA